GAAAAAAAAAAAAAAAAAAAAAAAAAAAAAAGTGAGAGGACACAAATGACCAAAATCAGGAATGAAAGTGGGGACATCACTTCCTACTCGATAGAAACAAAAAGCATTAAAAGAAAATATTACCAACAACTTTATGCCAACAAATTAGACGATCTGCATGAAATGGATAACTAATATAAATATTTCTAGGAAAAAAAAGGAGGGTAAATTTTAAGTACCATGCATACTGCAAATAAGTAGTACATCACTAAAGGCAGAAAATGCAATGCATCCAAAGAAAACTAGGGGCAAATTGTGGAAATTGATGAGTTTCAACTGTGTGAATAAGATGTGTTGTAGAGGGTTGTTTTTTTAATCATTTAGATACATAAATAGTATATGCTTGTTGCAACAATTCTAACAGTACAGAAATGTCTAAAGTAAAATTAGGAGCTTACCTCACTCCCCTCCATTTCTACCCCATCAATATAACTGCTAACAACTTGGTATGTGATTTTTTTTTTTTTTGCCTTGTTCATACAAACATTACAACTTGTTTATTTTGTACAAAAACAGGACTATAGAGTTATATGAACCAACGAAACTTACTTTTTTACTTAATACACTAAATTTAGGCCTCCAGGACAGTTCATATAGGTCCATATATGAACGGTATGTTCCACACAGTTAATTTTTTTTCCATGTCCATAAACTATGCCGTGTCTGTTTGTTTATGTATCATCTCTGACTGCTTTTGTGCAACAAGAGTTGAGTAGCTGTGACAGAGACTGTATGGCCTGCAAAGCCTAAAATATGTACTATCTTGGCCTCCACAGAAAACATTTGCAATCCCTGGTCTAGAGAAGTGGCTCTCAATTTCTGAACCATTTGGAAAGCTTTAACGATAATGATTTCATTGGTCTGGGGTGAGCCTGGGTGTTAGGGTTACAAGAGCCCCCAAGATAAATAATTTATTACTGATAATAGTTGCAAATATGGTTATAACTCCAGTTTGACTATATCAAAATTTATTCAACTATTCTCACATTGATGATTATTGAGGTTGTTTCTTGATTGTTAATATTACAAACAATACTGCAAGAAAAATCCCCAAACATTTGGTCTTATACTAGCATTTTTATTTTAGTCTAATACATTTCTGAAAGTGGAAATGCTGGGTCAAATACCAGGCCCACTTAATTTTAACAAACATTGCCAAATTATTTTCTCCAAAGTTTGTAATAACTAATGCACCACCAACAGTGTGTAAGAGTACTATATTCCCCGTGCCTTCAGTGGCACTGGATGTTGTCATTCTGTCTAATTTCTGCCAAGCTGACTAGTGAAAAATAGCTTTATTGTTTTCATTAGCAGTTCCTGAATTTCAAGGAGGTAAACTTTTTGTATGTTTAGTGGGTGTTTGCATTTCTTCTTCTTTGAATTATAAATTCCTAATCTCTCTCTCCCAAATGGATAGCCAATTGGGTTATCCTATAAATGATGGGACAATCTTTCACTGCTAATTTATACTGTGTTGGCTGGCTAATTCAAGGTACTATAAACAAAGTCCTTCTACTACACAACTTCAGGGACAGTATTCAGGGGTAGATCCCACAGGGATAGGTGGCAGGGTGGAAAGAGCAGCAATCTCTGCAGTAGTATCATTGGGAAAATTTTCAGTGGTGACGCTGGAGTAGGAGCCTCATGTAGAGTACGCTGTTATGGTAAGAGTCTACAGTGGTGGGCGCAATGGACAAAAGTATTACCTATAGATTTAGGGAATTTGTTTTCTTTTGCTTTTGCTGGGTTTTTTTGTTTTGTTTTGTTTTTTTGAGGAAGAGGAATTTCATATGATAATATGGTGAATATTCCTGGTACATTTAACTTTGCACTTACACAATAAATATCCTTTGTACAATAATATGTCTTTGTTGATACACACAGTATTTCCAAAGCCTAGAATCCAATATAGTGACTTTCAAAATAAAAACATATAGGTATTTTAAATTTTGCTAGAAACATATGCAATCTATTAGAGACCTCTCCTGGGTTTGGGGGTATTGTCAACTATCCTCCAAACACATGAGCTGAAGAGGAGGAAGTTATCACAATAAATTAAGGATCCATGACCATGAAGACGGGTCAATAGATACTGATCTCTTGAGAACAGTAAATGTTTGCTAATCACTTGATTTCAATGACCTGAACCTCCAGAATAATGAAATGATAACAAAAAATTAAGTAAATTAAGATAATAATTGTGAATTGTCTGGAACTTAATTTTAATAGAAATGCCTTTCCCTTATTAAAAAAAAAAAAAAAAAGATGGGTGTGTGTTTTTTAAATAAAGCACAGGTCTCGGAGTCTCATCAAAGTCCTTATTTACTATCTTTTGAGATAATTACATGGATTTTATTTGACCTGTTCAGATAATGTTATAATGATATATTTCCCGATATTAAACCATTTTCTCAAGGTTTTTTTTATACCAATTTAGTAGCACTAACTTCATAGAGAAATAATGCCTAATTACAGATGGCATTTATCGAACATTTTTAACATTCTCTTCACACACTTCTCATGTAAATCTCCTGACACCCCCCTCCCCACCCATGATATGTTATCTCTATTTCAGAGATGGTTCGGCTAAGCTCTAGAGATTCAATAACTTCCCTAAGGTATCCAGCCACTGGATGACACAGCTTGAATTTCAAAGTGGGGACTATACTAATAACAAATACTCCATGTTATTCGACATCTTTTCGTCAAAATTCTACAACAAGGAGCATTGGAATTAGGTGCAATTTGAAAACAGGGAGGAGGGGAGTTGGCAATCACATATAAGTAAAATCATTATCATTATTAGAAACAATACATTGAAGATCAATTTCCTCCAAAGTCATTCAGTTTTCTACTTCTAGAGTCAATTTGAGAAAGTTCAATTTTTACAGAAAATGATCCATTTATCAAAAGTATAAGCATTTTTAGCATCTGCTTTTAAAGAATCAAAAAAGCATTCCAAAAACAAAGAAGAGATTAAAGTTTACCTTGACTTTGAGCCAGATGAAGAATTTTTGATGTAACATATCTGGCAGTATCTGATTCTGTAGATTCAGTATTGATCTTCTCCAGCTGAGCCAGGAGTCCCACAATCCGAGAATTATTGGTAAGGCTAAAAAGAATGTTACTTTACATTAGGGCACATTCTACATTAATGTAAGTTGAATACTATGAAGATTATTATTTTTTAAAAAATTCTACTCTTCTAAAAAGATTAAGCTTTTACAGGTCATATTTCCTTAATCTGTGTTATAGCTTAATATTGTTAAAATTCTACTGATTTAAGTGAGAAACACATTCTATTTCAGAAAATCACAAATCACAAATGTCTGTTCAACCCTGTCCAGTAATCTTACATTGCACCCTGAAAACTCACCTTTCCATTCTTCAAGATGACTTCTTACACTTCTCTGCTCTCCTCAAAACTCTGACAATCTTTTCCTCCCGCCCTACTCCTTCTCTATTAATGCCCTACTTCATAACTGTTATAAAATCAAACAAGAATACATCATCGTCCCACCATCAAACCCTTAAACCTATCTGTTCTCCATCTATATTTCTTCTCCCCTGTTCCCATTCATTATACAAACATTTGCACACACGGTACCATTCTTTGTGGTGCCAACATACCACAAACAAAACAAAAATTCCTGCTCCTCATAGAGTAAACATTCTAAGGGTGAAAGACAAGTTAAATAAGTAAATATGTAAATGATACAGTATGTAAGGTGGTGTGTGCTACGGAGAAACTACTGACAACTTATCATTCTATTCCTTCTTCATTTGTTAACTGGGATAATTCCATGAAGAGAACTATGGCTAATTCCATAAATATTCCACTCCATATCTGGTTATCCAGAGGTAAAGTTCATCAAATAAAGGCAAAATAAATGCTTGATTTTTAATTTATAATTTTTAATTATATTTACCAGTTTTCAGAAGAATAAGTTCATTTCCTAAAATCCTACACAGGTGTCCAATGTAGATTTAAACATATTTGATATGTTTTATCCACTGTGGTTATTAATGCTCAAAAT